CGACTTGCGATCAGAGTCACGGAACGGATTAAATTTGTAAGTAGAGGTACCACTGTATGTGACAGGAAGCTTTCTTTTACAGGGTTCTCAGTGACATGGAGAGAATTTATGTTCCAACAGTAGTCGTACTGAAATTGTATAGCCTTTTCAATGACCAGATGGATTGAGGTTAGACCAGCTGAGCTGTCACTATCTTGTGTCAGATGAACAGGACATTTTGTATATCCATAGTAACTTTCCCAAGCAAACTTCATTTTTAACGAAGGATGAGGAATTCTGATCTGGTCCACCAGCTTTCTTCCCAGTGCTCTGTTCCCCTCCCCAAACTGTTTCCATTACCTATGCTGAAAGCCAGAGAAACAGGCTTTCCATTGAAACTAACTGCTAGATCAGTTCTGTCTCAGCAGCTTCACATCTTTCCTGAAAGGTAGGAGCATACAGGTGCCTTTACGGAAGCACTGTTGTAGAAAAATTGTGCAACCATACTGGACAAAAAAGCACTTTAAGGTTCTTTAGTGCTTTGCAAGAGCTCCTCTGATAACCAGATAACATCAGTGAGGTAGAGTTTGAGCTTTAGCCCTACCCCAGTGAGATCATTCAGTCCATATTAGGGCCTTTGAGCCAAAATCTGATTCGACTTCTGCATAGTACAACAGTGTACAGAAACTAAGTTCCCCCTGTTCTCCATTCAGGCAGAAAGCCCAACAGCCCAAGGAATATGGTTTCTTCCACTAGCCTGTGGCAGAAGTAATAAGGAATGGGAGAGGAGGTGATGTCATTGGTTGAAGAACAGCGGACCTATTGTGCTTCGGTGATTGTTATAAGGTGTATTTGGCAAACTGTACAAGTTTAGCCATTAGTTTTTTGGCCCATAATTTATTTATTTATTTTTATTTATTCAACAAATTTGTCACCGCCCATCTCGTGAAACAACTCTCGGCAGTTTACACAAGATAAAAATTCATTAAAATACAACATAAAAAACAATCCTAGAAATAAATAAATTCCAAGAAGATAGAAAATTGACAAATAATTCCAGGGAGCATAATCAGGGGGCTAACCATCCCCAGGGGTTGGGAGAGCCCATATCACCCCATGCACACTGACAGAGCCAGGTCTTTAAATATTTTCGGAAAGCCAGGAGGGTAGGGGCCCGCTGTACCTCTGGGGGGAGAATATTCCAAAGGGTAGGGGGAACAGCAGAGAAGGCTCTCTTCCTGGGCCCTGCCAGCCGACATTCCCTTGCTGACAGGATCTGCAACATGCCCTCTCTGCCTGTCCAGGTGGGATGGGTTGATGTAATAGGGATGAGACGGTCTGATACAAGATTAATTAAACAATGTTGAAGCTAGGTGGTCTGTAATAAAGAGTGGCGTATCCTACATTTATGTGTGCATGCACACACACACTACTCAAACATCATGTACTGTATGATCAATTATTTTTCAAAATTAATTATATGCTAATTTAATGTATAATTAATTAGAATCATCAGAATTTGGGCAAACATTTATTTTAAAAAGTACTTCTAAGAATAATACTTTAGAAAATAAGTGATAGAAAATTAAATATATAACAAGATCTCAGAATGTGGCATAAGAACTGGAAAAAATGGATTCACAATTTCTTTTCCTGTGCAACTATGCAACATTCATCCCAGTGTATCTATTTTGCAGTTTATCTTAGTAATGATTCGTGGTCCAGGTATCACTTCCATTGATGAACAGATAAGAAATCACTGAAATGCAAATCTAAAAGCAGGCCTGTAAGATTGGTATGTAAGTTTCCATCCATCCCTTCCTCTCCCCTGTCACTTTCACTAGTTTCTGAAATATAAAAATATAAAAGATGATAGTATACAAAGGCCTTACTTTAACTGAAGCTCTGCCCAGTTGTTTTCATTGGCTTGATGGGAATGGAGGTTGAAGTGTTATGAAACACAAGGAGATTAATTAATGAATTTGATTAAAAGCAATGCATTTTCTTCCCCATTTTTAGACAATTGTGGGGGGAATCTTGTCCCTTAATGGATAATAGGCATAATGGATTTCCAGCCCCCCTGCCCCCTCAAAAATTCCAATAGAAGAGAATATCTGTAGCTCAGGGTTGAGCTGTGGAGTCCTTAGTACTCTCTGAGCTTGGTTGTTTGGTTGCAGATGTTTCATTACCTGACTAGGTAACATCATCAGTGCTAGTGAGTGTGGGGTTTGCTCCCTGTTTACATATAATAGCTTGCCCTGCTAGTGTTGGTAGGGGTGTGGTTTTCTCCTTGGTAGTTCCTTGATTAGGGAATTGTTTTCTGCTTGTTTTTCTGGTGTTAATCCCTGCTTATCTGGGTGTTGGCTGCTGGAGGGGATGTGTCCTGGTCTTTTTGTTTCCTTCTTAGCTTTTTTATTGTCTCTTTTGAGTGGTGTGTAAATGTGGTTTACCTTTATGTGTCTATTGATGGCTGATTTGTCTGAATGCCAAGCTTCCAGAAATTCCCTTGTGTTTTTGGATTTAGCTTGATCTAAGATGCTGACAGTTTTCCAGTTGAAACTATGGTTAAGTCTGTCCATGTGTTGTGAGTTTAAGGAGTTTTCATTGTGTCGCTTGATCTAAGATGCTGACAGTTTTCCAGTTGAAACTATGGTTAAGTCTGTCCATGTGTTGTGAGTTTAAGGAGTTTTCATTGTGTCGCTTGATCTAAGATGCTGACAGTTTTCCAGTTGAAACTATGGTTAAGTCTGTCCATGTGTTGTGAGTTTAAGGAGTTTTCATTGTGTCTTCTGACCGCTAGTTGGTGTTCATGGATGCACTCTGCTAGTCTTCTGCCTTCATGCAAAACTGAAACAGAATGGAAGCAGACCAGTCCTTTCATTCCTATGTCTTGTCACTGAGTAAGTGAAGTCCGAACCAAATATGAGACAAGAATTCCTCCCCTATTAGCACTGAAAAGCAAGTAACCGATAAAAAATACTGGACACCAGATATAGAATTACTGCTTCAAGTAGGAGAATAAGAAAAACCAGCCTAGTTACAGCAACTGAGAAGGCTATGAGTAAGATCACCCTGTGTAATTACTACAACTCTGCTGCTAAATACACCTCACTGCTCATAAGGCACCATTAATAAGCCCGTGGTGGGTAGGCTTATCCCCTTCCTCCTGTACTTCAGGGTCCAGTGAAGGAGACTTTCTTGCCTGCCTGGCCGTGATCTCCCAGCTCCTGTTTGTCAGTCCAGCCTGGGGAAAAGCATCACAATGACAATCTCAGCTGCCACCATGCAACCGCAGACTGAGAGTTTGTGGGACTTTTTAATCTGGGACCAGGGTAAAAAGAAGGCTTTCAAAACTTCCTTTGATTCTTCCACCGCAATGCTGACCAGACCCCTTGCCGCTACGCAATCAGTTATTCTGTAGCTGGAGAGCACAGAACGAAGGAGAACCTGGTTGGGCGTGCATGACTTCGGCCAAGTTTTCCCCATCCTATTATCTACATTGGGATTGGAACTGCAGTTATATTTTACATGTATTTTTTTTAAAAAATCATCACAAAACTGTGAAAAATACATGAATATCCAGTAAACACAGAACTTGACAGTTGAGTGACAGAAACACCTGGATGTTCCATTAAAAGTAGATCTGCACAGAATAGGGATTCTGTAACAATACAGCCAGAATTTTTACATTATTTTGTGAGGGGATGAAACAGTATTCAGTAAGACTTGATCGTATACTTTCACTCTGACTCTTTTGCAACTGAGAAAATAATTTCTTTTCTCAAGCTTCTCATATGGCTTTTTCAAATAATATTTTTAAGCTAATCTGATCTCTTTCTTTCTCAAACACAGTTTGAAAAGCTTGCGCAACTAATTGAATTCACAACCTAAGAGCAGGAATAAGAGTTTTTTCTAGGTTAACCCTTTGGTTATGTGCATGTGTTTGTTGTTTGTTTTTTTGCTTCAGATCTAAATTGATCATTAACCTTCTTGTTCAGTTCTAGGTAAGATCCGAAGTGCTGTAGGAAGTGCACAGTTACTAATGTCTCAAAAATTCCAGCAATTCTATTGGCTTTGTCAACAGAATTTGGTAAGTTCATATTTTTAAACATTGCATAGTGTATCTGAAGGTATTTATTAATTTGCTTCAAGCTTTAAATGCTACTATTTTATTATTCATCTGGAGATTGATTTTTATCTATAGACCTTTAATTCGAAATCTGCTAAGCATACATTGCACATATAAATTGTGCACAAATGCTTCATTATTTGTATGTGCTGTTGCACAATAGACATTGCCTGAGCTCTATAGAGGAAGACTCCAGTTCTACTATGAGCATTTCAAAGTCATCTGGGAATTCATTGCATATCAGCATGATCTGCATTAAGGGCTTAGTCTGAACATGAAGTGATAAGAATGTGATACAGTTGCATTTAAATAATGTTTTATAACAAGTTTATATTTGATAATATGTTTTTATATTAGAAGTCACCTTGTGAGGGCATGACTTAGAAACTGGTTTTAAAAACACTTTACATTATTGATAAATACATGAATTAATAATATTTAAAAATTATTCTATTGCAATAAAAGGAAGTAGAAATTCCACCCCATAGCAAGGTGGTGGAGCATGAATCTTCAGTACATAGAATAAACCATAATTTCTTCAAAAACCATTTAAGATTCGGTGGGTATCAAATGTTATCTTATAAAGATCTATCAATTTTTGTCTTGCAGTAGTCAACCCAGAACAGATTATTTTGGTCTTTAAAATATTAAAAATAATTATCTATCTATCCATCCATCTATCCATCCTGGAACAGATTCCCCATTCTCTGCAGTGTACAGCTCTAGTGGGATTGGGGAATACATTGGAACAGCTTTGGGGATATTGAAAGTAGCTGTGAATAATTTACCTTTTTGGAAATAAGGAACTAGTTGTGCAGTTCTCTGGGCTCCAATCAGTGGATTTATTCCCCTGGCATACTGATTCACATACCAATTTCATGTGGACTATGACAATCATGAGCCAATGGCTGTTAATCTAAAAGGCTGAGGGACTACAAGAATTAATCAAATTTTGTACAATTCAAAACATTGAGCAAAATTGCCACAATACCTTTCCCATCAATTTGGGGCAAAATATCCATGATACCTTTTACCATTAGTTTTGTTTCATTGCTAAATTATATATGGGGTGGGCTTCTGTTGGCAAATATAGTCAGTGAAGAACAGTGTAACCTGTTACACTGGCTTTTCCTATTAGAATGAGAGAACTAAATAAAATTTTGAGTTGGCATTAGAGGATGTGACCTATAAATCTGTCTTTCTTAAAATCAATCATTCTGTAATATTTACAGTTTAACCTTTACCAGCATGAGAAATCATTTCTTCTGTCTATGTCTATTTGAAACTTGTTAGCCCATAAGATTAACCAATCCAAGGTTTCAAGAAAACATATATGTGAAACACAACTGGACATAGTCTTTAGTTACAATTGCTGAAGAATTCATTTAGTTTAATTCATAGAATTAACATCATAGGCAGCCATGCTAGGTTGTTGTTTCTTCTTCTTGAAGAAGAAGAAAAATCACAAAACTTGTGCAACTATCTTTGCAAATGTGAAAAGTGCCTCTGCTTTGGCAATGCAGGCTACCTGAATTGCAGGAGTTGGGGGGGGGGAGCAATTGATTAAATGTGCATCACAATGGCAGAACATAAGCCCTGTGTCCATAGTTGGGGTACAAGTACAAAAGGGTGGGTTTGTGTCATGACATCACCATACCTGTCTTCACCTTTTCTTAATTGTGGCTAGTTGTGGATGCTAAGCCCTAGTGTATTCCAGAGAGTTCCACCACATCCATTGAGAGTATTAGAAGATTAATTGGGGTGAGAGCAATGGTCAGAAATCTGATCCATACAAGTAGAAGCACTTTCTGTGAAAGCAAAGCTTCCGCTGGGTATAACCCTCTCTGTTTTCTTCTATGCCTTTTTGTCTGTGCAGGTACTTCACTATTCACCTAAGGCAACTAGTGAAAACTGTAAAAGTCTTCCATACATATTGTAGCTGCGAAGTGCTTTGAAATGATTCCAAAAAGTTGTCTTGGAGTGCATGAAAGTGCAAATAGTGTGTGTATGCAACTTTCTAAAACAGCCATGCCTTTTCATGGAATCGCATGTCAGCTACAGAGGAAGAAAAGCAGCAGCTGTTTCAAGAAGTTGCCTGTGGGGCTACATTTGTGCTCCAAAGCACATTTTTGGAATTGAAACCAAAGCATTGTACAGTCCTATTGTATTATAAAACATAAATTGGTTTCCTTTCTTGGACTGTGTCCTTGTGGGTAACCCTTTGTATTTCTGCTTTAAGACTTTTGAAAGAGTTAGTGCTTGACATTACCCTAATTCCTCCCAGGCTTCCCAAGATTGCATCATCAAAATTAGGGGCAAAATTCCAGCTTCATGATTTTGACCTAGGGGGAGGGCATTAAGAATATGGCCAGGTAGGTATCCTGCCCCCATCCCCATATAGGCCAATTATGAACTGAAAATATTGGCCATGTTCCTTCCAGTCACATCTCAGTCTCACCAGGTGGCCTTCGACAGCCTTTCAGAACATCAGGAGCCTCAGGTGTTGCCCCTGACCACTCAAATGCTGCTTAATCCCTGCTATTACACATTTATTCATGATATATTGAACACTAAGATATACTTAAGCAATTTAAAGATGTCCAAAGCAATTCCAATATCTTTCAAAGGTCATTTTTTCTTTTTTTTGTCTGCGCTCAGTCATTGCTGACCCTGCAGTGACTGCTTGGACGAGT